ACTCGTCCCATATTACCACTTATTTGAGATCAAACAGATTTGTATAGTATCATTTCTTCGGAGATTATTGTAATTATTTTACGAAGATTAATTATTGACGTTTCATTCGTAAATAGGATTATCATATCTGAATCATGAAGAAAAAAGTACATACGTACACTTTTTAAAAAAGATGATAAGACACAAGAAGGAGGTATAATTATTTTATGCATTAAATTTGATAAAACAAAATTTTTACAATGATGTTTATTGACAATTCTTATTAATATAATTTTCTAAACATAAAATTTTAATTAATGACCAGAAATTTTATGATCTTAAGAAGAGTACAGCTAGCAATCGTATTACTCGCTAGTAAGCAAGTAATATCACGTCAAATCAGCTATGACATCTACAAAGATTACAATTATCTTTAACTTTCAAGTAAATAAGTGGAACGTTTAGAACTCCAAACAAATTTTATTTTTATAATTATATTTTTTAATAATACGTATAAAGTTAAATTTACATTATTTATGAGATAGAGAGAGAGAGAGAGAGAGAGAGAGAGAAAACTAAAAATTTAAAAATAATTAACTTTAAGACTTCTGGCAATTTTTTTTTAATTTTCTTTTCCAAAAGGTTTTTAAGATAACTATGCATAGAGTACTGTAGCCACCTAACTACTTAAAGGTTAAAGAGTTTAAACCCTTCAAAGGGATGTACAAAAATTTAAAATATCTCTCGGAGATCGAGTTATTTTAAGTATTTCTAGTTATCTACATAGATATATAACGTCATCATATCTAATACGTTAACGTTCAAACGCCTTAAACAGGTCGGAGAATCACACTTGACTCGTTAACATGGCATTACTTATGGATGTGCATGTTGAATGCAGCGTGAGCGTGATACGGAATAAACGCGGTATCGCGCACGCTCGGTCCGACGTTTTGTCGAGCGAGACAAATGAATCCTTTTGGAACATTGACTACCGGCAACGTATTTGCCAGCCGCCACTCCGCTGGCGGAATTGTTTTGTCGGCTTAAAGCGCCGGCCAGGGTGTTTTGTTCGGTTCAGCGGCTTGAGCAATTCTCTTGTTCTGTCGCTGTGAAACCTACCCCGACGCTGTGCGTCTGCTATGCGTACAGCACTTCTGCTTGAATCCTGCGATTTAACGTTCGTTAGAAAGGCGAGCGCTTTCGTTAAACGAAATTAACCTAGTTTTGCAGTCGCACTAATTGAAGCAAATTGCTATAACATGAAAATGTTTATCTTTGCGGATAATGATGATAATTCGCTCGGAATTAATTGATCTAATAACACTGAAACAAATATCTCCCATTAAACATTGTAATAATTCATGCACATATTCTAGTTTTTTTGCGCGAATTTGTTATATTTCTATAAATTTATATTATTATATTGATATATCACATATTTATGTAGAATTTATACATAAATTTTTATACATAAATTTATCTTTTATCTTTTATCTTTTATACATAAATTTATCTTTTATCTTTTATCTTTTATACATAAATTTATCTTTTATCTTTTATCTTTTATACATAAATTTATCTTTTATCTTTTATCTTTTATACATAAATTTATCTTTTATCTTTTATATATATATATATATATATATCTTTCCTTTTTCTGTTATATCGGAAAAAGAAAAGAAAAGAAAAGAGCGATCACGGTGTGAGCGAAAGCGTTAGTCACAAAGGGACGAGGGAGTTATATCCATAAGATAGCACTTGCCTTAGCAGATCCATTAAAACACCCTCGAGCTTAAATCACCCTTCTTGCATACAAGAGCACGGCAAAAGACACTCCTGTCTCATCTCGTTCGATTAAATGTCTCGAATTTCGGATGCTATCCATCACATCAGACATACTTCGAATGCGTTCCGTGATGCACTTACAGCGCTTGTTCAATATTTGATGGATAATAAGAACGAACTGCTTACAGCGTGTGAGTATAAAACGAAATAAACAACGAATGCGAGTGCAAATCACGAAATGGATTCGCGCGAAATTTCGAGCGAAAAACCGGACAGAATTTTCAAACAAGATTGATCGTTAGATCCTTATTTTTTTTTACGCTCGAAGCGATATGCCCGCTCGTTATACGTCTCATTAAACGAACAGACCGCCTCCGCTCTAAATGCATTACCTGTGGCACAATTAACTACGGATCAGCGATTAGAGAAGGCAGGCGATTCTGGCGAAAGAACCTTTTTACCTTACTAATTTTAGCCGTAATTTTAACGGAAACAGTAAACGATCGCTTTTCCAAGTACATACTATACATACTATACAGTACTTAAGATAAATTTTCATCTAAAGTCCGATTATACCTGCGTTTTCTCTCATTATATAATATGTGTTTTCTAACAAGATTTTTATCTCACGATAATGGCCAAACACGACTACGTGCGATCGCTCCAAGTGTGAATCGTGAATCGCGTAACGTGTGTATTTCTGTGTACAACACGGCGATACGTAAGAGATGGGCTTCTTTTCGCTCGAGCGACGAGCGCAGCAAATCGCTCGTTTCCTGTCGCGCGAACGAACGAGAAAGTTCATTCCTCCGCCGTCGTGCATTCCTCGCGAGACACGATTGTGACGTTTACAGTGACGAGAAAATAACGGGTCTTCTTTGCTCGAGACTGCTCGATCTGAGCTTTGTTCTCTCTCTCTCTCTCTCTCTCTCTCTCTCTCTCTCTCTCTCTCTCCCTTCCCTCCCTCTCCTCTCTTCCTAAATACGCTATTGCGGATTGCTAAACTTGCATTGTGTGAACTGACAAATCACTCTGCTCTGAAAATTTATTTATATTCCATTTATCAAAATTTTAATGGGATTATGCGTTTTTTTTTTCAAAATAAGTTCAAACAGTTTAGTGAGCGAAATACATTGTATTTTACCTTTCGACTACTTTATTTGTTCTCGATAACATATATGATGCAATCAGATTGATTATTATGAATTTGTTTTATCTTGCACGCAACAGTGATTAATGTATTACGTGTCGCAAATTCGCGCTACTCGATATACTTTCATCACTTTTCGTCATACAACCGTGAAGTTAAAGTAAAAGTTGTAACAACGAGATTATTATAGGTATGGAATCACGTCGCGTGATATGACGAATGAATAGAATAATATGGCTCATGTGTTCGAACATGGCATTTTGCGTGGCTCTATGTAACATACGTTTCCGAGCTGATAAGATTGATAAGGTCTCGACTGGTGGGATTGCGACTTCAGCTCGTTTACGCCCAAAGTATCGACACGTTCAGTGATAATTCTCACTTAAACGTGTCGCCACGCAAATCGTCACTTGTGCTATTTAATTATTCATTGTAGCGTGACAGTACGACAGCGGGTTTCGATCAAGGAACAATAATGCCTGGTAAGCAGTGATATTAAATATCATAAAATTCAGATATAAACAGATAAAAGTAATAATCAAATCATGAAGTAAATGCAAAGTTGGTTTTTAATTTTAGAATACAATTTTTAAAAATGAAGAACAAAAAGACTCTAGAAGAAAAAGATTCTATTTTTATAATGCATTATATATTATCCCAATCAACTAAAATAAATGAATATTTTAATATAAAA